CCCCCCCCCAAAGAAACCTCGAATTAGGGTTTCTGTATCACTAATTGATCCCTAACTAACTCAATTCAAATCCCGAATTCTTGACTAAGTCATGGAGAATCAACTCCAGCAAGACGGTTTGGTTTCGGTCACGGGAATCGATCTTATGAGAATTGATCAATGCGAGGAGATCGGTGCGACGCAATCTCATGCTATCTCCGTGCCTGTGGGTGATGAAGCTCCTCCTGTGAAGCGAAAACGGGGACGGCCTCCGAAGGCACTTGCTAGTAAGACGCCGTTGCAAGCTCTAACACCGCCGGCAAGGAAGGATGAGAAGGAAGAAGATGTGTGTTTCATTTGCTTTGACGGTGGAGACCTTGTTCTTTGTGATCGCCGGTGAGGGATTGTTATGGTGACTATTCTGTTAGATAGTGTTGAGACTTAACCAACTGGTTTAGTAAGTGGTTAAATAGTTGGTTAGATAGATGCATTTAAATCATGTACTCTAGTATGCATAGATTGATATTGGAGCTTTGGATGATGTTTAAGTTAGTGTTCTAAAAATGGGTTTAGGCGGGGCAAATCGGATATGAGGGAAACGATTTTTCAAATTGATCGAGACGCTCCAAAAATCGGCCTAGGCGTCCGCCTAACAAATAATCCTCTATGTTTAACCACCGCCTAGCGATTTTTAGAACATTATGCTTAACAATGGGGAAGAGCTTAGTTAGATAGTCAAGTTTAGGGTTTAGTTACTCTTTTTGATTACACGGTTGTTAATGCCATTGATTAGAGTTACATAATTGGTAAAGAAGGAAGGAGGCGGTATTAATGGTTATTGTTATATATGAAGGTTTTAGGTAACGAGATTTGTGTTATTGATAACGTATATTGATGGGTTTGTCTTGTGGATTCAGGAACTGTCCCAAGGCATACCATCCAGCTTGTATTAAGAGGGATGAGGCATTCTTTCGAACAACGGCTAAATGGAACTGTGGTATGAATGTGGCGTAGTCCATGATGTTATTATGTTGTATTTGCTATCAGCAATCGTTCTGACATGCCGTCAGATCTTGTAAATGATGACTGATGTTTCGTTTCGTTTCAATTCAGGTTGGCACATATGCGGTACATGCCAGAAAGCTTCCAGTTACATGTGTTATACATGCACCTTTTCTGTTTGCAAGCGGTGTATTAAAGATGCCGACTATGTGATTGTGAGAGGGAACATGGGTCTTTGTAGCACATGTATTAAGCCTATAATGTTGATTGAGAATATTTCTCAAGGAGATAATGAAGCGGTAATACATTCCTTCACATTATATAGTTTCCTTTCGATTCAATGCTTTGCTTCAAATTTAACTCAGGCCAATTGAACTTTTACCAATCTGCCACATTCACCTTAAGAGAGCTATACTTTGTTGATTTTTTCTGGCCTTTGATTGCTCTTAAATTAGTCACAAGCTAAATTATGGACCTTTAGAGATCTTGGGTTGATTGATTAGAATGATATATTAGAGGGCCTAAGGGAATGATTAGTTTTCCAAATTTGTTAGTCATGGTTTCGTATTTAATAGCTCTTGCAAAAGCAGTACGGTATGTTGGGTTTGTTTTTAAATTAACCTGGTGAAACGGAAGGAAAATAGGTTAATCCTTGTTTTGGGAGGAAATCTTGTACTTCCTTAGTTCTCTAAGAAAGTGAAGTGATTTTCATTTATTTATCCTCTTTACTGTATCATAATGTGTGCTGGTCATAATTGTTTTCCTTGTTTTTAGGTTAAGGTTGATTTTGATGACAAGCTCAGTTGGGAGTATCTATTCAAGATATATTGGCTTTGCCTGAAGAAAGAGCTGTCTCTAACTGTGGACGAGCTTACTAGAGCAAATAATCCTTGGAAGGAGGTTCCTTACACTGCTCCTAAAGTGGAACCACGAAATGGTCATACGCTTAACAAACCTTATTCTTCAGACAATTCAACTTTAGATGTAGCAGTGAACGGAACAAAAAGAAGAAGGACTAGTGATTCCCCCATCGTACCTAGCAAGATAGATGCCAAAAATCCAAGTAATACTCTAAAGAAACTTCCTGGAGATACAAACTGGGCAACAAAAGAACTTCTCGAGTTTTTGTCGTTCATGAGAAATGGCGATACATCTGTTGTTTCTCAGTTCGACGTGCAGGGTCTTCTGCTTGAATATATCAAGCAAAAAGATCTTAGGGATCCTGCTCAGAAGTCTCAAGTTATCTGTGACCTAATGCTTGTGAAGTTGTTTGGAAGAGAGCGAGTGGGTCACATTGAAATGCTTAAGCTTCTTGAGTCTCACTTCCTTATTCAAGAGAAACCGAAAGATGAGACAATGACAAATGGGGAAACTAATCATGCTGTTCCTAACCAAATAGAGGAGGATAGTGTTCATGATCCACCGGTTAGGGGTAGAAGACGGAAGATGCGTAAGAAAACTGATGGCGGAGTACAAAACGAAAATCTGGATGCGTATGCAGCGATTGATGTTCACAATATTAACCTGATTTATTTGAGACATAAATATTTAGAGACTCTACTTGATGATATCAACAAACTCCACGAAAACGTGGTAGGTACAATTTTGAGAATTAAGGTCTCTGGCGGCGACCAGAAGCTGGATATTCACCGGCTCGTTCAAGTTGTAGGTACTTGATATTTGTTCATATTACTAAGGAAAAAGAAAGGAAACTGGGAAATTAGTGACCCAATATATAAGATTGCAGCTGATTTTGTGAGTTAATTAACAGGTACAAGCAAGGCAGCAGCATCCTACCAACTTGGCGCAAAGACTACAGATGTTATGTTAGAAATACTAAATTTAGACAAGAGAGAAGCCATCTCTGTTGATCAAATATCAGACGAGAATGTCACAGAGGTAAATATAGTCCTCTCTGAATGTTGTTTTATCTACTTACCTGTAACTCTCTGATCGTGAATAAAATGTTAAAAACCCTATCTACTAATAAAGTAACCTAGAAATTATGTATAATTTTCTTTTAATCTGTAATGTACTTATGTCTGTGGCCTTCAGGACGAGTGCAAGCGGCTGCGGCAGAGCATAAAATGTGGCCTTAATAAACGTTTGACTGTGGTAAGAACGCGCAGATGATATCTTCTCGTCCTGAAATTGTATATTTCACCTAAGTTGGAAACTCATGTTTTTTGGTGGTGTCAGGGTGACATCTTGAAGACGGCAGCAACACTGCAGGCCATGAGAATCAATGAGGTAGGTCAATCAAAAATAGCAAATATCGTTCGTATAAATATTAGAGATCACCTTGATGATCATAGTTCTTTATTGGACTCTGTTTTGCTTCTTATTTACGTTTTGTTGATCTAGGCTCTGGAAACTGATATATTAAAGTTCAAGCATCTCCGCGATAGGGCTAGTGAGAAGGGTCAAAGGAAGGAATATCCTTTTTGAGATTGCCATACTATATTTATTGCACTCTGTGTTCGCTTACACTCTTTCCCTTTGCATATTACATTATTTCCCTTTGCAAAGGTTGCGGTTTAGAATCTTTCAAATTGTCATTGATGAAATAATTCCTTGAATAGACGTCCATGCCACTCGTAGCGGTTGTGTAGTATACAACTTGACTACTACTCTGGTTTTACATTTAGATGTTTGGTTTGCGTTAATCTAAATGTGAAAGATACTTTTACACTGATTGCATGGAAAGTTTATGTCCTGATTTCTTAACCATCTCCTACGCTTAGAGAATGTGTTGAAAAGCTAGGGCTTGTAGAATCACCTGAGGAACGCCAGCGGCTTATGCAGGAAGTCCCAGAAGTTCATACAGATCCAAGCATGGATCCGAGTCATGCATCAGCAGAAAATGCAGGGTTGGGTACGAGGAAACAAGGTCTCCCACCTTAACTTAGGATGTGAACAAAGCTACTTGTTCATTATCTTACGAAAATTCCTGATTGCTGGATGCTGCAGTTTACAATCTTTTACGTTTTCTCTTTGCAGATACTGAAATAAAGGCACAAAGTAAAGGCCCGAAGAGAAAAGGGGATGACAACTTGGGAAATAATGCGCAGAAAAAGTATGACCCTCCAGTTTTGCGGAGCAGAAATGCCGTGCATGCTACTAATAAAGATGAATGTTCCACTGTCCACAGCAACTCATCAGATATCCAGGTTCGACCATACCTCCTACTCTATTCGCTATATAACGTCTCATATGTTTCTTAGTTATGGTTTCATGTCATAAAAACTTTCTGGATTTGCAGGAAAGTAGTAAAGATGATGAGGAGAATGAAATATGGCACTATCGAGATCCAACAGGAAAGATCCAGGGGCCGTTTTCTATGGCACAGCTCCGCAGATGGAAATCTAGTGGCCATTTCCCCACTCATCTTAGGATATCGAAAGCTCATGAGAACGAAGACGAGTCTGTGCTTCTGACTGACGCTCTTGCCGGACGGTTTGATAAAGTAACTACTTTGCCAAGCTCCTCTTTACATCCCCAAGAACCAAGACAGTCTGCGCATGGCTCTGGACACATTGGCGTAGATGTGAACTGTCATCAAAATAACCCGTCGCCAGTCAGCACCAGTGCAACCTCCTCTTCGTCTTCTACTGTCAGTGCCGTTCCTAACGATTCAAAAGAGAAACAAGTTGCGACTCTTGCACCTTGCTCTGCAAAAATGGAGGATGGTAATTCTGTTCGTTCCCAGCCTCAAGTTAGTTGTCCAGCATCAATTCCTGTGGTTTCAGGACATGTGGTTACTCCGGCAGTAAGAGAAACTTCCGGAACTGATCAATCCAGTGCTATGCGGGAAGATGGAACAAATGTTGGTTCTGTTTCCATAAACGGTTCTGTTCATGCACCAAACCTGAATCAAGAAATCCATTTCCCTGATTTCCCCACTCGTACACCTAATTCGAGCCCTGAAGACTTGGACGCTCAAGCAGCAGAGACTATTCAGTCTCTCTCTTCATGTGTTCTGGTCAAAGGAGCATCTGGTGGTGTCACATGGGGCACCACCACCACAGATGCTGCAACCACCACTTCAAGTGTTGTGGTCACTGGAGGAGAGCTTCCTCAAGTAACACAGCATAATGTTGATTTAGCTTCACCGTCTGTGAAGCCATTTGATTTGGGAGCTGATCATGACGCCACAGCAACACAGACATCTGATAACACCCACATGGTTCACTCATCTGGATGGCCGGCCATTGTGGCTGACCCCGACGAGTGGGATGAATCCGTTTCAGATCTATTAGCCGAAGTTGAAGCAATGGAGCAGAACGGTTTACCTTCTTCACCCACATCATTTCACTGCGATGATGATGACGATGATTTGACAAAAGGGCCAGAAAAAGATTTCTTTAACCCTGTGGCACGCATGGCCCTCACATCTGAAACATGCAGAATAGATGTCTCTCAGCCGTTGATTCTTGACAATTTCACCTCCGTTAAAAGCTCAACTAGCACAGAAGGAAAAGACAATACACTCTTCAGCCACTGTGGAACCACTGGTCCTGAGCTCCTGCTCTTTGCACCGTCAGTAACTCAGGACCTGACTCCAACGACAACAGCTCTCAGACTAGGATCAGAAACCACAGTTGAAGCTTCGGTCGAGAGGTGTTCCAAGTCTGTTCCAGGAGTTGATTTCGAACCGAGCCCTAGGTCATCATCATCACATGACTTAGCCCGTGGAAACACCGAGCGCAGTCCACGTGGAAATGGAAGTCAGCAACGGAGATCCGGTGGAAACAGTAGAGAGCGGCAATGTTGGAATAACGGTCACAACAGTAGCTTCAACAACAATCATAATAATCGCCAATGGCCACACAGCAATAACCATGGGTATGACCATGGATCAGGTTCTTACATAGCTCATCCGCCCAAGGGGCTAAAGATATGTAAATTCTATGAGAGTGGGTACTGCAAAAAGGGTGCTTCTTGTAGTTTTTGGCACCCCTGATTCTAATTTGCTGTATTTTGTATTTTATTTGTCTATTTAAACACATCTCAAACATTCTTTTGTAACACAATAATAGTTTATCTGCCTCCGTTAGCCGCATGTTTAAGTAATTATAAAGCTTTTTATATAAAACTCATTTATAATTTGATACACAAATAAAGAATATAAGCATATGAGTGGTGGTTATGGTTACTCAAGAGGAGGAGATGGTAGTGAGTACGGTGGAGGTGGAAGACAGGAAAATGAAGGATACAGAGGTGGAGATGAGGGTAGATACCAGAGTGGAGACGTGGAGGTTGTGGTGGATATGGAGGTGGTTGATATAGAGGTAGTACAGATCATGGTGGCAATGAATATGGAGTGGAGGTCGTGGTAGTTATGAAGGTGATGGTTATGGATGAAGGAGACGGTGGTGGTGGAAGACGAAAGAGTGGATGATACGAAATAGACGTGGCGATGGATGGACGTGATTGTGGATATTGTCATCTATAATGTATATAACACATTCTTTTTCTTTAGTTTCTAACTTTTGTTCTTACGAAGATAATTTTTCATAATTTTGTGTTTATACACAAAAAAGTGTCACATATGTAGAAGGATAATTCTCTAAAATAACCATCTTTTAAGTTTTTATCACAAAAATAGATCTCAAAAATTAAAATGACGAAAATAACACTTTTTATTTTGAAAATTTTAAGTTTTCTTACTTTTTTAAATTCAAATCTTATCTTCAAAATCACACTCCTCAACTCTAAACAAAAAAATCTTGGATTAGTTAACCCAAGTGATATAAATGTATATTTAATAAAACATTTAAGTGTTATTTTGGTCATTTTAATTGTTAAGTTCTGTAATTGTGATAAAAAAATTTTTAGGTCTATTCTAGTCATTTTCTCTATGTGTAGAATGCTTCAAATATTGTGTAAACAAAAGTCAAAATGTGTTCTAATGCACTCACGAACTATGTGCTATTTCCTTAAGGAATTGAAAAAGGATAAATAAGCCTACATGCAAAACGCTACCGTTTGATAAACACCCTCCTGCGTTGGAATCCCTCGTTCTCTCCCTCAAGATAACCTTTCTTCCTTTTGAAATCAAATGGATGATGCTTCTGCTAATTCTAGGGTTCCTGAATCCGTTCGTAGCTATGTTTATCGTAATTGAATCGTCTCTTATCTCGAAATCGACCAGATAAATTATATATTCCCTCCATTTCATTTTAATTGTGTTTTATGTATGTGCACAAATTTTTGTTAAGTTCTATAATTGTGATAAAAAAAAATTTAGGTCTATTCTAGTCATTTTCTCTATGTGTAGAATGCTTCAAATATTGTGTAAACAAAAGTCAAAATGTGTTCTAAGCACTCAAGAACTATGTGCTATTTCCTTAAGGAATTGAAAAAGGATAAATAAGCCTACACGCAAAACGCTACCATTTGATAAACACCCTCCTGCGTTGGAATCCCTCGTTCTCTCCTCAAGGTAACCTTTCTTCCTTTTGAAATCAAATGGATGATGCTTCTGCTAATTCGAGGGTTCCTGAATCCGTTCATAGCTATGTTTATCGTAATTGAATCGTCTCTTATCTCGAAATCGACCAGATAAGTTATATATTCCCTCTATTTCATTTTAATTGTGTTTTATGTATGTGCACAAATTTTTGTTAAGTTCTGTAATTGTCATAAAAAAAAATTTAGGTTTATTCTAGTCATTTTCTCTATGTGTAGAATGCTTCAAATATTGTGTAAACAAAAGTTAAAATGTGTTCTAATGCACTCAAGAACTATGTGCTATTTCCTTAAGGAATTGAAAAAGGATAAATAAGCCTACACGCAAAACGCTACCGTTTGATAAACACCCTCCTGCGTTGGAATCCCTCGTTCTCTCCCTCAAGGTAACCTTTCTTCCTTTTGAAATCAAATGGATGATGCTTCTGCTAATTCTAGGGTTCCTGAATCCGTTCGTAGCTATGTTTATCGTAATTGAATCGTCTCTTATCTCGAAAACGACCAGATAAATTATATATTCCCTCCATTTCATTTTAATTGTGTTTTATGTATGTGCACAAATTTTTTTAAAAATAATTTGCATATTTTTTAAATAAAAACATATAAGTTAATAAAAACATATAAGTTAATAACTATACATCTAACCACATTTTAATTAAAACATATAAGTTAATAAAATTTGTATTAAAATTATAAAACAATATTTATTTTGGAACAAAAATTTTACTCTATAACTAAATTAAAATTGAAATTATAAAACAATATTTATTTGGAACAAAAATTTTACTCTAGAAGAGTAGTAATATGCAAGTTTAGGTTTTGCTCATCGAAGAATTAACGTAGTTGTGGAGAGGTCATCTGATTGTAGATTACTATACCTAGATTTCTCTACTTCCATTAGCCACATCGTTTAAGTAATTATCAATTTTTTTATAGAAAACTTGTTTATAAGATGAATGTTTGATGTTTGATATCCATAAAAAGATATAGAAAACATTCCTTTTCTAACTATATTGCTGTCAAAGATAAATTAATGTTCATAATTTCAAAGTAAGACCATCTTCGGTGGTTCTTCACTTTGAAGGAATACATGCATGATAAAATAAGGGAAATCATTCTCTAATGGTGCATCATTTTAGTGTTACATTTTTAATTTATATTTTGGCCTTTTAATTTTATATAGTTTTATTTTATATCTAAAAAAATCAATATTTATGTTTTATGTTTCAACAAAATTATTAATTTATCATGATACAATTATAAGTTTATAAATAATTAACTTTCTTTGAAAAATTAAATTTATGTATATGATATAAATATTGGTAAAATAAAATTATTTTTGGATTAAATGTGTAAGTTTTTAAAATAACAAACATTATTAGAATTTCTTTTAAAGGAGAATATGAGGAAAATCATTGGAGCAAGACACAAAATCATTTGAATTTATCTTAATATAAAGAAAAAAAATGATGTTATCTATTGGAGATGTCGTAAGGATTCAAAAACATCTCAAGAAGCATCAACATTATGATATCTCAAAATCAATGTATTCTTTCCATAACATCTCTGTTAAGTCATGAGCATGCTGAGATATTACAAGTTCAAAGATAGCTCTAGTTCGTTCTATTTCACCAAGTGACCTCTTAAACTCGGTTTACATGCACCACACATAGCAATTTCCAAGAGACCATTGAATTATCATATTACTATATTATACATTCTAAATGTCAGAAAATCAGGATGTCGTAGTGATTGAATCTCTCAATCTATTTTAAGCCCATGAAAATAATACACATGTGTTTCTATACAATTATAAACATGGGTGTTTTTCTAAAATAAAAGGCTAAAACTAACATTTTTTAAACAATTTTTTTTTGTCTTAAACTAACCTAATTCTCCATACTTTTCTCAACTATTTACAAAAATACCATTAAAACTCATTTTTTCTTATATTTCGAATTAACTAAAAACCCAAAACATCCTATCTATTTCTTTTTATTTACAAAAATAACATCATCATCAATATTCTCAACTACCATTAACAACCAAAATTGAATTCTTAATGCTCATAAATTCAATTCTTATCTATCTTTTGTTCATTCTACACCAACAAATTTTCATCTCCTCTCATTTTCTCTCTATTTTCACTTAAAAAAACTCCATAACTTTCATTTTCACAAACAAAAATTTCATATTTTCGTGATTCTTCAGTAAAATTTGTCTAAACTACTTCGTTTTCTTCATATTAGGAGGTTTCACGGTGGAGAAGCCAGGATACGAGCTTTACACCGAAAAAAGTTAACTATTTACATAGATATCGTAATTTTAAGATATGTGTTGCGATAGTAGACTGTTTTGTAAGTCTACGAGTACTTGTAGACCTACGATACGCTCTACTTGTCAATGCACATGTTAGTTTTGCAATTGACCAAAATAATTGTTTATGCAAATTAGACTTCAATAGAGGTCTACAAATTTACCTTTGATAACAAAAAAAATTATTTCAGTAGACTTCATCACAAGTTTACATAAAAGAGGTTAGTTTTGCAATTGACCTAAATTTGACTTCAAACAATAGACTTCTACGGCAGTCTGCAATTTGTAGACTACTCTGAATGTCTACAAAATGGTCATTTTTGCATTTGACCAAATTTTCACTTTCTTTAGTAGGTTTGTTTTGTGTTTGACTAAATCGTTAAAATATTAACCAACAATTAACCAAAGTGTAGACTTCATATGCAGTCTACTATGCCCCAAAAAGAAACGTAGACTTCATATGCAGTCTACTAAGCCCAAAAAAAACGTAGACTTGATCAGAAGTCTACTATTTTATTTTAGTCAAACACAAAACTTACCTGTCAGATTTAAGAGTATACTTCATCTGAAGTCTACATTTACGTAAACGGTTATTTATGTCTACTTTTCGAAAGTCAAACATAGTCAACTGCAAAACTAACCTCTTTCAAAAAAAAATTTAAAGCATAGACTGTAAACGAAGTCAACTTTGGATATGTAGACTGTATATGAAGTCTACTATTGAAAGTCAAAATTTTCATGAATACGAGTCAATTGCAAAATTAACCCTTTTATTGTGTAGACTGAATATTAACTCTACGCGTATAAACTTTGAAAATAACCCATAAAATTTGTAATTGCAAAAACTAACTCAAATTGTAAACCTATATTACAGTCAATAGATGTAAATTTTGTAATTGCAAAAACTACCTCTTCGTAGACTAATTATTTCTTTATTTTTAATATTTATACTATATGATTTCACATTTTAATTTATAAAGAACTCAATTTAATTTAAAAATAATATTTTTTAAATTAAAATAAACTGAAAAAGATTTATACAGTGAAGTAGACTTTATTGTAAGTCTACCAAACCCTAAGCCACAAAACTCAAACCCTATAAATTTTATTGATAACCAAAAAAAGACTCAGTTATTATCAAATATCAAAATATAGACTATCCTGCACTAATTTGCAAATTTATGTCAGTAAAAAAAAAAAAAAAAACTCAATCTAAAATCTAACCCTAAGAATCCACCCCCTCTAAAGACATCACATGTTAGAACATCTTTTGCTAAACTATTCTATTGTCCAAACACATAGCTACCTAATCAATATATAGTCTTTATAACTGTTTAATTATATCACATTTTAATTTATATACAGCATATTGGTTCTTATATAGATGATTTAAAAATAAATTCACACAATTTAATTTTATACATTTTTAATATAAAATTATAAGATTAAATTATGATGTAGACATTAGAAGTTTACAAAGTTGATTTCATAACAAGTCTACACATTGTAAACTTCTCTCTATTAAATGTAGATTTCAGAAAGATAAAAATGTAAAATAACATTTTGTCTTTTTTTAGTCATGAGAGGTAAATAGACATTTCTCTACTTCCAAAAGTTAGTTTTGTATTTGATTAAATAAGAGGTCTACCTTTGTATTTGAAATGATGTTTAGGGTTAGTTTTCGCAAATGTCCCTGTAAACATTTACGAAACACTATTATAAGCCTTGTGTCTATATCCATTCATAAATGTATATACGGCAAAGTTAAAACTTATTGTTGCGGTATCATTTAGGAAAAATATTTTTAAACATGACCTGCAAATGTACCTTTTCAATGTATCTATTAAAAATAACAATTCAACCTATTTCTTTCTTGCAGGTTCACGTACATACCTTGAAATGATATAAACATATGTTAGATAAAAGTTTTCCATATTGAATTCAACCTCAAACATTGTTGTGAAGGGGAATTGGCATCCGACAAGTAAGGATTAAAAATGGAGTTTACTCATCCATTTAACGGACTTATTTACCAAGTCTCCAACTAATTTTTTCGCAAACGATTTGTTACATTTCATTCAAATCGAACAAACCCTTTGGTAATCACCCCGTGAGTGATCAAAACACATATTGTGATATATGTAGACCGAACAAACTCTTTGTTGACCTTCTTGCGTTGCTTCACATCAGCTCACCCTAAGACTTGGGTTCTTTTTTTTTGTCTTTGGCTGAATTGTGGTATAATACCAACTTCCATACATCACTTGGCACAACTCCATTTCAGAGTGGTATATGGTTGTTCCCTTCCTGCTGCTATGTTAAAGTTTGAATATGGTACAACTAAAAATTTTGAGTTAGAGGAGATGTTGAGAGACGTGATGTTATACTCAGAGATATTTACCGGCCTACGATGATTGAATGAAGAACAATGTTGATTAGAGTCGTGGAGAATTGGAGTTTGCAGTAGGAGACAAAGTTTTTTCTCAAATTGTGACCTTATCGCCAGCAATCGGTTTCTAAAAGATTGTGTCAGAAGTTAGATGCTCAATTTTATGGACCATTTGAAGTTGTACGTGAGGGTATTGTTGTGTATGGACTGAAACTGCCTCCAGAGTCTAAGATCCATCATGTTTTTCATGTATTGTAGTTGAAACCGGTGTTAGGAACTCATCACATCTTTTCCGAGCTTCCACTATTCCTATCTTCCACTGCTGAGTTACATATTGAACCCTCAGAGATATTTGACACTACATGACAATTGGAAGTTTTGGTGGGTTCGTCTGGTCGTTCTTTTGAACTAGTCTCGTCTACCATTCATAAATTTCCTCATCTTAAGCTTGAGGACAAGCTTCGTTTCGCCCCCGAAGATATTGATAAGTTGCCGAAGGCATATTATAGGAAGCGAAAACGAGTTGAGCTGGAGGGAGGAAGAGTCAACACGTCTGACATGGCTTAGCTTTTAAAGAATAGAATATACATAGTTCTTTGAAGAATAGAAAGGTTTTCATTGAGAAAGTTATAGGAAAGTTTGTTAGAGATGTTTTTCTTTGCAACTTGGTGATTTTTAAGAGGAGTGTTCTTGAGTTTCAAGGAATTGTAGTCATGCGAGAGAGAAACTCTGATGATACGATTCTGTATTCTTTGATAATTAATACAATACAAGTGTTTGCTCACTTTCAAGGATCACAACTGAAATAGATTCAAATTACAACAAAATGATATGGATACGGAAATGGAAATGTTTAGTTGAAATACAAAATATTTTTAAAGCACACATAAAAAGATACAACAACAGACCACACGGACTTAAATCAAATTCACAATTACTTTACTTTTCTTTTCCATCCGCCAAAAAGCATGGCTTGCTTTGAAACATTCTCACTCCGATTTGTATCCCGGTTCTTCGTCTTGATCAGCCTTAGCCTCATCTTTACCCTTATCCTGCTTCATATCAGCCTTTCTTTTTCTTAAGTTCTCATTTCTTCTTTGTATCTCCTCAGCCTTCTTTCTCTCAACCTCCCTCTCAGTCTCATCCTTAGCCCCATCCCCCTCCTTCTCCTCCTGCTCGTCCTTCTTCTCCTCCTCATCAACTGGCACCTATCCAGTTACAAAAGTTATTGTAACATCTTAGTAACAAAAATCATCAAAGAAAATGCTTAAAGTCGAATGCAGATTGATCTCTCGCACATACCTCTACAGTTGTCGTTGGGAGTCTTGGGGCGTCTCCTCCTTGTTCAATGTCAGATAGCACCTATATCCAAATGAAAAAGAGTGATTTGCAACCTCTTAGTACCCACAAAAAAAAAAGCAAATGCATATTGATCTCTCACACATACCACGGGAATTGTTCCATCATCCCAATTTTCAAATGAAGCGTACAAAGCTAGGAGAACAGCCCCCAAAACCATGGCAAGCATTTTCAATAGCCTTCTCTCATCTAAATGAACCAAATCGGTAGCCCCAACTGTTACAAAGCCTTGGCTCAATCCGTAGTCGTTAAGGAATCTGAAAGTATGAGCTGTAAAGTGGATGTAGAAACCAGAAAAAATCAAAGCTGCGAATAACATGATATCAGGATGTCTTTCACCAAATTCATCCATCAAGTACATAATTACTCCGCAAACGACTACTTGTTTGCCAAATCTCCATTTCCAATCATCGTCCCCTCTTTCAGTACTCTCGATTAGCACGAAAGAAGCTGTGACTAGGATAATGACTACTCCAATTACTATGACGACGACCGATGCTGCCGTCGACATATCATTGTGCCAAGATGACGTCAGAACACACACGAATGCAGCTATAATAGAAATTGCAGCCCAAAACGGCTTGTACTTTTGTTCCAAACCCATCGTCTACTCTGGAAAAGATTAAGCAGATTAGATACTATTGCAAACAAAGAAAACCTATAGAACATCATTGACCGACGTGACAAACAAAAGAAACTAAATTTTGATAATAAAAAGATAAACAAACCAAAAGGGAAACGCATCCAGATCAACTCAATAATGAACAGATATAAGCATAGACAATTTAAGAGACTAGACTATGGTCTGAGAGTCCAAGCTTTCAATTACAGTTCACCAATGATTAGTATATGTTTATTGCACATGATGTATAATAAGTCATTTAGTAAGATCTTATCCAAACAAAACTCTAGGCGATGAATGATTTATGTGTAACAAAACATCAATGGAAATCTAACTGTCAGTGTAAACACGATCACAATCGCGATTTTGATTATATATATAAACGCTATTTATTAGCTAATGGATCAACGTCTAATGTCTACTTACAGAGGCTTGATTGCTACCCCTGAAAAGAGATAACAGTATATATCATCAATAACGACTTACGATAGAGGTTTGAACAAAACAAAACAAAAATGAACGAGAAGATATAAAGAAACATAGGTAATGATAACGAACAAGAAGTTCTAGTAAAGAGATGAACATAAGATAACGAACAAGCAGATCTAGTAAAGAGATAATATTATCAATCTATCATCAAATTACTATAGAGATTCAAACAAACATAACGCGAATAAAAAGATAATGATAACGAACATGCAAATCTACGAAAGCAATTGAGAGAAGTAGATTTTACGATTCAAAGTAAAAAATTCGATATGATAAAAATAAAAAGAAGAAAAAATCCTAACTCGTGCTCGTTTGGTACGTTGAAGTATAATTCAAAACAAGTGCTGGAAGGAAATTTATAGCGGAGAACTACAACCGGAGAATTACGTGTTTGCCCTTTTGCGTTTGCTCTAGCTTAATCTATTTTTCTTTTGTAGAGCAATTTCCATTATCATTTAACATTTTCTCCCTTTTTTTGTAACACGATATCATTTAACATTTTCATCATTAAAAATTTTCATCATTAAAAATTTTCAATACAGTACAGTAAAATTATATATTTTTTGATAAAAGCAGCAGCCGTAATTAAAAAAACAGAAAAAAGAAGAAGAGAAAAGCAGCTCTTATTTATCCGTATATAATACTTCATCCTTGCGACACCTATTATTAGCCCCTTTTTGTGTAAACTAAAGAATTAACTTTAAGTCTGTATATGATGAGAGGATTCGAACCTTGCTATATAGCCTAGGGGTAGGACGGATTGGATATCCGGGGTATTTTAGGATATCTGGATCCGAATCCGGATTCGGCGGATCCGTAAAATTACTATCCGGATTTGGATCCGGGCCATCTGGATATCCGGATCCGATTTATTTTTATTTTTTAAAATTAAAAACATTTAAAATTAAAAATTCTGTATTTATTTATTCTACTATATAAAGATAATTAAATAATAGAAATTACTAAAAAAATTGAAGTATTAATTATACTTAATAAAAATATATAATATACTATATAAAGATAATTATATTTTAAATATTTTTTTAAATATTTAGTGGGTCCGGATCCGGATCCGGATATCCAGACCGAAAATTTCACTATTTGGATTCGGATCCGGATTCGCCGGATCCGTGAAATCACTATCCGGATCCGAACCCCCCGAATATCCATTTTTCGGAGCGGATCGGATCAGATCCCGAATCGGATAGCGGATATTAAGTCCTAATCCTAATATAGCCCCTTTTTTTTTGCAAGCTTGCAATACATATTTCTTAGTGTTCACGTTCAAATGTGATATTTATCTATAAAATATAAAAAAAAAAATGATTTCTAGGGTGACTAAAATAACTCTCAATTAGTAGAGAACAACAATGCAAAGAAAACTTCGATAAGTGATGATCAAATACGGCCGGTCCGCGGCGAAAATAACAAAACAACTCAGAAGAATATATCATAAACCTAATACGCTGTTTAAAATTTTCATGCAAGAGGAATAATTGGTAGGGAAATTTAGCAGGTTATACCTCAACAGGTAATAATTTTTCTCATAAAATATAAATCATTTTGATTCTTAATATACTACTAGATTTTGATCCGCGCAACCGCGTGGATGTTTGTTTTCTTTTATAGTTAGTTATATAAACATTTTGTTTTCACTTGTAAATTGGTATATATTATATTAATCACATATTTACGATATCTATAGTAAATGTTTTTCAAACATAATAATATTATATAATAAGTGTTTTAATCAAATAGATTGTTTCAAATTTTCTATATTAATTATACATGTTTTTCAAACATGTGTTTGTTTCTTCTTCTATATTTTATTATTTGTTAGATTAGTATTTCATTTTTAGATAAAGTAATATAAATAGAGCTTAATTAAATATTAGTATACTTTAATTTGCAAAGATAATATAAAATTTGAAGATTTTTTTGCTAAAAACTAAACTTATAGCTTCATAAATTAATATTATAAAGAATTTTACTAAAAAATAATTTTTTAAACAATTTCTTTTTATTTAAACAATATAATTTTAAAAATTTACATCGAAATAAATTTATCTAATATATATAGCGTGTAAATTTTGTTAGGGTATATAAATATTTCATATTATTAATCTGTGATTTTGTTAATATATTGTGGATGCATTTAACTATTATTGACATATTTGCTTATAAATAATAAAAGATTCCTAAATTTATATCTATTGACATATTTTGCGTGACTAAATTGGAAGGTGTGGGGTAATTTACCAAAACTAAATTGTTAAGTGTATATTTGTTATTATAGATATGAATTTTCATAAAATATAATAATGATAAGATTATTACAGAGTTAAGGTAATCTAACTTTCTAGTAATAGTCCATTTAAAAAAAATCACACAGGAAGTCAAGTCATGACTTCTGTTTTAATATATAAGATACAATCTATATTTTTGATATCCAATTAATATTAAACATTTAAAAGTTGAAACTCTTATACGACAAAACTAGCAACATTAATCGGCTAAAAATATTAAATTTCGTCTGTTTTTACTATAAAAGTTTTAGGAAAAATACCTGTTATTTTTATTTGTTATAAATTATTCACATTATTTTGGTTTTATTTTTAATATTCAGAGCCGGGCATGAGTCAATTGGCATGAAACATTTTAATGGGGCCCATATTAAACCAAGGCCCCAATATTTTAAAGAAACTGTTTATATATATAATTCATACAAATGTAGTTTTAAACATAATATATGTGAAAATATTTATTAATTAAAGAATTTTTTGTTAATATTTTTTTTAGTTTTAGTTAGGTCAATTTGTTTTATAATGTAGTTTTTATGTATAATTTTAATAATATATAACAAAAAAGTCAAAAAAAAAACTGAATGGGGCCTCAACGTATTATCTAATTAACATTCAAACATTTGAAAACTTACAGTGTTACACGAAATTAAATAAAACGAATAGAAAGAAACTAAAAAAAATGAGAATTCTGCCAAAAAAAACACCAACTTTGCATGAATTGCCAAAAGAAACCTGAACTTTTGGACTGACAAAAAAAACATAAACTTTTCATTGACTTTAGAATTAATTAACAATGTTTTCGTTGACTTGCCAATTTGGTACGCCGTCAGCAAATTTAACAGAAAAATTAATGAATTAATTGTTGACGTAAGGATGAAACGACGTTGTTTTCAGTTGAGATGAAACGACGTCGTTTTAATCGATTTGAAAATAAAAAGACGTAGACCACTGGATTCGGACCCGAGTTGATTGGATCAAATGTCAAGGTAGTTTACCACTGGGGTAGTGACACATTCAATGTATCTACTAACACATTTACTTATATTTGGTACTGGTTGAATATAAAAAAAATCTATAAAAACTTTTAAAAAATCTTTAAAATTTCAAAAAATGAAAAAATAAAGATCTTTTTTATAAAATTAATTTTGAAATTAAAATTTAAATAAAATTTTATTTTTCTTTAAAAAAATCAGACGGAAACTTAGAAAATTTTATTTTTCTTTCAATGTATCTATTAACACATTTACTTATATTTGGTACTGATTGAATATAAAAAAAATTCTATAAAAACTTTTTAATTTCTTGAAAATTTCAAAAAATGAAAAATAAAGTTTTTTTAAGAAAATCAATTTTAAAATTAAAATAATTTTTTTATTTTTCTTTAAAAAAAATCAAAAATCTTCCAAAATTTTATTTTGAAAAATAAAATTTTAATTTAATTTTAAAACTAAAATTAATTTTATAAAAAATCTTTATTTTTTCAACTTTTTGAAATTTTAAAGATTTTTTAAAAGTTTTGATAGAATTTTTTTTTTTATATTCAATCAGTACCAAATATAAGTAAATGTGTTAGTTGATATTTTGTATGTGCCAGTAGCCAAGTGGTAAACTACCTTGCTATTATATCCAATCAATCTGGGTTCGAATCCAATGGTCTACGTCTTTTTGTTAGTAGATATTTTGTATGTGCCAGTAGCCAAGTGGTAAACTATCTTGCTATTATATCCAATCAATCTGGGTTCGAATCCAGTGGTCTACGTCTTTTTATTTTCAAATCGCCTAAAACGACGTCGTTTCATCTCAACGTCAACAATTAACGTCCGAGTTAACACCGTCTTAACTGCTCGTTAACGGTGTGTTAAAATGACAAGTCAATCGTAAGTTTCTTAATAAACTAATAAAGTCAACAAAAGTTCATGTTTCTTTTGGCCAGACTCGAGTACATGTTTCTTTTGGCAACTCGTACAAAGTTGGTGCTTTTTTTTTGCCGAATTCTCAAAAAAAACCATTACATTGCATACTAATCCAAAGTTAACGTATATTGACAACAAAAAATGGAAGAAAAATGAAAGTGAAACATAGCACTGCCATTCAAACGGTTTTATCTTTTAGGAAGTAAACAAGCTAAGACTACAAAACAAAAATGGGAATTCGGCCAAAAAAAACACGAACCTGTATTCGACCCTGGCCAAAATAAT